GTTTAATATATATATATATATATATATATATATATATAAATAAATATTTTCTGAAGTATTATTTTTTCTAAAACAACTTTTAAAGTATTAGTTCTCTCGAAGAATTGGTGGAGGTCTAGGGTTTCGGTAGAAGAAGAAGAGAGAAGAAGAAAACTTCAGGTAAATTCACGTTGACATCCACTTGACCAAGAGTTAACTTCGTTAGTTAAATTTGGACAGAAGTCCCACAATGAGGTATTTTTAATTAAATTGAGACCAAAATAAAACAAAAAATTAAAGTGAAATTAAATTGAAACTTTTTAATATTATAAGGGATCAAATTAGGTTTTTAATCAATAAAATATTAATTATATTAATTATTAATTATGGATGATTTTATAATAAATATAAACAGAATTTAAAGGAAACAATTTCTCAAATATTATTTCTCTTTAAACAAATAATGTCAGAAGTATTATTTTCCTTCGAAATGTTTCATAAAGAAAAGACATTAATTATAGGAAACTAAAATCATAACATTATAATAAAAACATTAATTATATTTAATTATTAACTATGAACAATTTTAAAATAAATATAAAAAAACTACATTAAAATTGATTTCACAAAATTCACGTAAATTTTTTTTTCACGTATAAGACATTGTAACATAAATTCATGTAAAAAAAATTGTTAGGTAAATATCTCTCCAAAATAATTATGAACTATATTAATTATTTGTTTTTTATAAGAAAAAGAAAAACTATTGTTTTTAAATGATATTACAATGAGCATTATATATATATATATAACATCTATCTTAATATTAGCATATAAAATTCTTTTTTATACTCATTTTTTTTTACTGAGTCACCTTTCGTATGTCTTAATTTTTATTAAATGATATTTGATGGTGATTATTGTTATCTGGAGGTATAATTCTGACTTAGTTGCGATAATTCTTTTGACAATTATGATTGGTTTTACTTTGTAGTTGTTAATCTTTTTTTGGATAGTTTTAAAATAAATGTAGATAGAAAATTTCATAAATATTTTTATTTTATTTTTCATATATATTATATTGAATAAATATTTGTGGCATAATTATATATTTTATTAATTTATTTTATTTATTGGCTTCAAATTATTATTTTTGTAATATTAATATATTTTTAAATAAGTTTTACAATATAATCTTATTATAGTTATGCAACATTTTTTTCTCTCATGCAAATTATATATTTATTATTGAATCTAAACAAAATTATATATTATTTGCATTTGTCTATATCATCTCACAATCATTAATAAGAAAGAATTATTCGTTGTCCATTCAATAAAAATCTTTAATGAAATTCAAAAAATAAAAATCTTTAATAACCACAGACAACTTTCATATGCAATGCACATAAATACACAAAACCTTCTATTTATAATGTACACATTGTTTCTCCAGATTAATTCAAAAATTAAATTTGATTTTTTTTTCTTTCATCATCAAATTTCTCTTTCTTTATTCTCATCATTTTTCTCTTATTCCTCTCATATGTCACAATCAAATTTAAATCTCTCTAAAATATTTAAATCTTTTTCTTTATATGGTGGATTGATGATGATGAGATTTATTGATGTATTAAAGAGACATGTATAACCGAAACAAGCTTCATGAATATTTTTCTCTTCTTATATTTTCTCCTCACCTAAAAATATTGTCAGAAAACCTATTTTATTCCTCAAAGATTCAATATTTTCTCTTTAGATTTTAGGTTTGTGCTAACAATTTTTTCTTCATTTTTTTATTCCATTTTCTTTTGTCCATTTCTATCATCAAGTTTTCATGCTCTTCTCCATGTATTATTATTCTTTGCAAAGGTAAATTTGAAGTTTATTTTTTTACTCATTATTTTATTTTTTGTAAAATTTTCTTTTTATTGTTCTTCTTTAATTTCATCCTTTTCAAAGTAGCATGTAACTTAACATTTGGCTTGAGTTTAATTCATCTCCTTTATGAAAAAATAGATTTTTCTTTTTCTTTGATAGTTAATTAAGTTTTGTGGAGTAAAGACACATACTAAAAGGGATTGAATAGTGTGTATAAAAAACTCACACTTTTGAGCAATGAAGAGAATAAAAACTTAATAGATGAAGGGCTAGAGAAGAGTTAAGTGAAACACTGAAATTTTATACTGGTTCATCTCAACTACTGATACAAGTATTCTTTTAATAAGCCACTTCTGACTCATTTCTAAGTAGTATTTGACTTGCCTCTTCAAACAATTATCCGAGTATTCTTTGAACAACAAGTTTCTCCTGGCTTAATAACAAATATTCTTGCAAATAAGCCTCTTCAAGCTTGATAACAAGTATTCTTTCAAACAAGCCTCTTCAGGCTAACCCTTTACAACAAAGGTTACAAGAGATTATGAGGTTGTTTCATATCTTCTAAACATGTTGCAACCTAAAATGAAAGTACAAAATAATCTATACAGAATTCATAGAGATTGTTTCTTTGTATGCATGTGTATATCTCTGTATTTGTTTGAAAGCTTGATCCTTATATAATAGCTTTAGAGAAGATAATTATTGCGATAATTTTGAGTTGAACTCACAAGTTGCTTTGTCTATCTTCACTGTTGATCTTAGAGGAAAGAGAGTATCGTTGCTTCATTTAATGCGAACATTAAATGTTTTTTAATAAAGTGTGTATCTCTTATCTGATTTAGGATATTATTTATCATAATTTCTTTCTAAATGGACAAAGCAGAAGTAATATCAATGTAGAGCCATTAGTGTTAGCGTAGAGCAGTTCTTGTAGAGCCTTTTTTAGTTTTTTCCATGATATATGAGATTTTGCTTTTTAATTCTGACAAATAACTTGACTTTCCCTTCTATAACAGATTTTGAGAGTTCTGAAACATATTTCTTGTTTGATTTGTTTAGGGGTAAATATTTAATGAAATGAAAAATTCTACAACCTTCGAAAATGTATTCCGAAATACGTTTCGAATCTTTAAAAAATTAATTTAAATTATAAAATATTAATTTAAATAATTATTTAATAATAAAATTATTAAAAAATATTAATATTTTAAATTTTCGGCCAATGCTTCGGATACTTTTCGAAGGTTGTAGCACTCCTCTTAATGAAATTTATTATTAGTCTCAATAAAGAGTTATACATAAGAGACAGATTGTATGCTTTGTTTGATTCTCTTCATCTTATAGGTGATATGAATTTTTCACTTCGTCTAATATACAATATTTTGTAGAAAATTCATTTTCTTTTTAATAATAAAATCTTTCGTTTATTATCATTAAAACATTAAAGATACAAAATCGTCTTTTGACTTAATAATCTCTCCCTTTTTGATAGTAACAAGCATACTTTAAAAGATTCAATCTTGTTTTATTTTGAAAAAGGTTTTCTTTGATAAGACAAAATGAATTTTAATCTTTTCGAAAGGGTTTTGATTACAAAACTGAAGGTATTATTAAAGGAGAAAACATACTTTGATTAAAATATTTTATTAGACTGATGTAAATCATATATATATAAGATTTGAAGAAAAAATCATATGAGCAATTTTGATTGCAAAAATCAAATCTTTTCTTATGACACGTAATTTGTCAAATTTTCTTAGATCTATCAAACAAACAATAATATAACATTTGTGATAAACTAATATATCCGAGCATTTATCCAGACTATATATTAGAGTATATGAATTTTGAACATATTTAAGCATATATATTAGAGCATTTCTATATTATGTTTGAGCAAATAAAATTCAAATTTATCAAAGCTTGTATTATCTTGTTCTAGATAGATCATTCAGATGATCAGAACTTTTATAAAAAATATTAGTCAAATACAAATGCATTGGTGACTTCTCCTGAAAACATGCATGATATTCAAGAGCAAGACACAGTATTAGAGCAAAACACAGTATCAAAGCTTAAAAGATTCTCATCAAACATTTAAACTAAAGTATCATAGCTGGAAAAACATTTGAACATATTTAAGCATATATATTAGAGCATTTCTATATTATGTTTGAGCAAATAAAATTCAAATTTATCAAAGCTTGTATTATCTTGTTCTAGATAGATCATTCAGATGATCAGAACTTTTATAAAAAATATTAGTCAAATACAAATGCATTGGTGACTTCTCCTGAAAACATGCATGATATTCAAGAGCAAGACACAGTATTAGAGCAAAACACAGTATCAAAGCTTAAAAGATTCTCATCAAACATTTAAACTAAAGTATCATAGCTGGAAAAACATAATCAAAACAGAATCTAAGTCAGAGTAGTAATTAATAGAAATCCAAACAAGAATTAGAAATGGCACAGAATGCAAAGGAAGAACTCTCTAAGAGAGAAAATACTCAATTGAGTAATAGAAATGATATAAATTGATCAGTGCCTTGAGAGCTTACATTGATAGCTATTTATAGGAATCAGAAACAAAGAAAATACAAATCATAGAAGCTGGCAATTTAGAAAAACAGAGGGGGTGGTGGTTGCTTTGTGGAAAAAGAAATTCGGTGGTTGTCATTGTTGACAATGGTGACTGGCATGTGCTGGCATGTGGCTCATGTGCTGGCATGTGGCTGGCATAGCCTTCCAGATCACCTATTAGGTTTAAATGTGTCTAGTCTTGATGGATCAACGAGTCAAAATTGTTCAATTCAAAATATCATAACAGTTTAGTGCAGTTTAGTTCAAATTTTCATAATGCAATTCAGTTCAATGAAATAAAAGAACAGTTCAATTCAGTTTTCCTGAACTAATAAGCAGTTCAGTTCAATTCATATGAACTACTTATAAGTTCAGTTTAGTTCAGTTTGTCCACCGCTAGGTACATCTAGCCAACTATCGATTAATATATCTGTATCTTCATATCTTAATCAGGTTAGATCATGGATGCAAGAAGTATTTCCTGGTCTTAATCACAGTATACTTTCATATATAATTGGGTTTGATAGCCTTAAAGCTACCAGAAGTAATGGAAATGACTGTAGTGAAGATATTCGGCTACGCATGGATGGACTTTTTGAGCAGAAGGAACAAGCCATCCAATTTACTAGAGAATTTACAGCGTTGTATACAAATGGACCAGCTGGTGGTGGTGGTATCAGGTCAGTGTTACTTAAATTTGGTTCTGCTTGCATTTGATTAAAATTATTAATAGCTAACTTTTATAGTTGAAAATTATAAACCTGTGTTGAATTGACAATCAATGTTCTTCAAGTTTTTCTGAACTTGCCGCTATACCCAACATTCTTTCTACAGACCGTTAGTGACATCTTTTATTTGAATGCAGTACTGGATATAAGAAGGAGACTCTTCTAGAAAAACATTTGGTAATCTCTTCTTCCCCTTCCTCTGTCATGGGTTTTCCCACACTGTGTATATGCAAGCATTAGGACTACACTTACACACATGGATCAACAGAATCCGTTGAGATCCATTGATCACCAAATTTTCAGAAAAATGATTATGAGCAAAGACTTTTAAACTTATAAGGGTTAGTTTTGTTCAATCAATATTATGAGGCAGAAAATGTGAACTTGGAAATGATGTAGTGTTTCATACTTACATCGTTGTGAGATGTGTTCCTTCTGAACTGAACTGCTGAAGTCATAATGAACTTGAACATTGAATGAAACTTGTGATTTCTTGACAGAGTAACTCAGTTATTTTTGGTTGCAGTGCTAGTGATCTTACTGCAAGCTTCATTAACCATGATGCTAGGAGCCTAGGACTATTCATCATAGCTAGATTTTTCTTCAGGTTAAGCGCGAAGATGTTTTCTGGCGAACTGGGATAAAGAGAAGCACAGGAAGTCTGTCTAATAAAGTAGTTGATCCTGAACACAAACTGAGGCACACATTGAGATTGCCACCGAAGCTACAAGACGACACTGACAAATCCTCCTCAGAATTTGTTTCCATTGGTAGTAGTTGCCCTGCTCCATCTGGACAGAGGATTCCACTTTACAGTGTAGCACACAGCAGAGCTGGAGATAAAGGAAATGACATAAATTTTTCCCTCATCCCACATTTTCCGCCTGATTATGAGAGGTTAAAACTAATTATCACATCTGAATGGGTAAAATCAGTGGCCTCCTGTCTATTGGATTTGTCCCTTTCTCCTGATTTAGATGCAATAAATCAAAGAGATAAATGGATGAATGAAATTGTTAAAGTTGAGATATATGAAGTCAAGGGAATCCAGTCACTGAACATTGTTGTCAAGAACATCTTGGATGGTGGTGTCAACTGTTCTAGAAGAATTGATCGGCATGGAAAGACCATTTCAGATCTCATACTGCGTCAACAAGTTGTGTTGCCTCCTTGATTGTGTGATTTACTACTCATATGGCAATGTTCCCATGAGTGGAAATGAACTGAGCATTGCAAAACTTAGAATGATAAAAATTATTGAAGCTTGGACTGATCGCATTATCTTCGATTGAAGCAGGACTCCTACACAGACTTCTGATGATAATTAACAAAGGCTGTAGCCACAACATCCCTTTAAAGATTATGGTGGGAAGCCTTATAAACCTCACATTAGGTGGTTCTGTTTCTTTGTAATATTCTGCATAACTACCGACAACTAGAAATTATTATTTATATGAATTTTAAGATAGTTATTATAAAAAGTCAACAAACTTATAGTACATAATGGTTTGTGATTGGATGATAGTTTATTTTCTCTCTCTCTTTTTTATAAAAACTTTGTGCTGTCATTTTGCCTTTTTTAACTTTTGTCTTTGCAAAAAGTACTTTTTTTTAATATATATTTTTTAATTATTTAAATAATTTAGACCCATTTTTATTTATTAAAATAACCCTAAACACCGATTTCTCAAAAGATGTTTTAAAAAAATTTCAGAATTCCTTTGAGAAATCGGTTACCTAGAAATCGGTTACTGGATAATCGATTTCTCCTTGAGCTTTTTTTTTTCTTTCGTTTTTTGTTTATAAAAAATTAAAAAATTAATTTAATTAAATTTTCAGAAATTAAAAAATATATTTAATATTTAAATTAAATAATTTTTAAAGAATAATATTTAATAATAAAATTAATAATATTTCTGATTTTTTTAATATAATTAATTTTAATTTTCAGA